ACTTCTTGTTAATTTTTTACTTTGTTTTATAGTATAAAATTTAATAATTATAATAAAATTATATTATCTAAAAACAAATTATAATTGATAATATTTTATTTATTTCGTCTAAATTTTTTGAATATAATTCAATATAATTTTATTAATCATCATAATTATCATTCTTTCCTTATAAATTGACTTAATAAAATAAAGTGTTTCTTAATATTTGGTCAACAATTCTATCATAATTCCTATAAAGTCTATTGTTTTATTTTTCTTGACAATAATGTTATTTAGTTTATAACAAATTATAACATTCAATTCCATTTATGGAATAATAGACAAAACAAAATATTGTTTTCTAATGGATAGTTTTATTAATTAACAACAGGGATTGTAAGTCAATAATTGTTATGGCTTATAAAAAAAGTAAAATATCTTTATAAATTTAATTACGTATTAAGTAAAAATAATAATCGGTTCATTAGATTTAATAATAAATTTCATTTTGTTATTTAATAAAAAAACATTTTCTATGAAAAGCCAAACATATTATTCAATAAATGAATACAACGTTTAAACACAATAATAAGTGTTGTTAACTTATTTAGTCATCAATTATTCAAGAAGAAAATTACCTTTGAAATTGTTAAAAACAAAAAACTAAAAACAATGGTAGTACAATAAAAAGAGAAAATATTAAAGAAGAATATAAATGAAATTAGTAAAGAAGAAAGAATAATATAAAAACATTACAAATAAATAAAAACTATCTTATATACAATTAAAAAGAAAAGAACTTAAAAATGATAAATATGGCAAGTTCAAGTGAAAAGATTGAAGAAGAAAAGAATTATTTTGATAAACGAATTGGATTTTTAAAAGAAGAGCAAACAATACTTACATCAATATTTAAAACTATGAAAGACCTTGGTGAACATTTTCAGAGGTTACAAGAACTATTTATGAGTGATGAAGCAATGAGTATTATTGATGACACCCAATTATCTGAGATGATCACTCGAACAGGATTCTTATCAGGAGAAATATTATCTTGTCAAGAAAAACAAAAATATTATTTGGATGAAGTAACAACATTATATAATGATGTAAAGAAAGCATCAAAAGAAGTTGGTAAAACTCTTAATTCAGAAGATACAGAAAAATTAGAAATAAAAAGCGCTTCAATATTTAAAGCTAAAAAAAATATTCAACTCTCACCACAACTTGTTTTAAGTTTTCTTGATACATACAAACATTTTTGTATTGATGGACATGATTTTTATGAAAGAAAAAAAGAAGGAGAGTGGAGAAAAGTATCAGTTAAAGACATTGTTTTGTATAGAAATCAACCACTTCATGAAATATTAAAGAACGAAAACAGACCATTAAATTGTATTCCTATTGCTTTAGAACAAATTATAAAAGAAATTAAAGAACGTGGAATAGTTCAAGGAATATTTAGAGAATGTGGAAAAGTTTCAGAAATTGAAGAAATAATAAATAGAATGTCTGTTACTAATTTTAAATTATTAGAACCAAAAGAATTATCTTCTTTACTTAAACGTTTTGTTAGAGATATTCCAGGTGGACTTATTGATATTGAAATTCAAAATAGTTTACTTGAAATTTGGGGAATGAAAGATATTCAAAAATCTGCAAGAGTTAAACAAGTTTTTTTATTACTTAAAAGTTTACCAGAAGAAAATTATACTTTATTACACAAAATTATGGAACTTAATTTTGATATTCAATTAGAACAAAAAACCACTTTAATGAATGCTACAAATTTATCAATTTGTTGGACTCCAGTATTATTTGATATGACAACATTTTTAGTAAAAATGAAAGAAGCAAATGAAATTGTAGAGATTATGATATTAGGTGGTAGACAAATGTTTTAAATTAGTAAATTGAATTATTTTAATTTTTATTTTATCTTCAACAACACTTTTTTTAATAAAAAAATATAACTAAAATAATGTTTTGTAAAACAAAAAATATTTTAGTTTACAAAAATCTATTTATAAAATTTTATTATTTTTTGTTTTTGTAATAAAAAAATTATTAAATTATAGTTTTTAAATAATAAAAATGAAAGAATGAAATAATAATTAAAAACAACTAAAAAGAAACTACAAATGTATTAAAAAAGAAAAATAAAAGGTATTTTATTCCTTTTCTTTATGAACTAAAAACTCTGTTTATTTAAACATCTAATGGTTTTAGTATTAAATTTCTTATATGAAATTACTAAATTAAATGAAGAAAATAATACTAAAGAAGATGATAGTGTTAGTACATCAGTATGGGTTGTTATGTCATGTATTATTGTTTCCTTTTTTGTAATATTGTTATTTAATATCGTATTTTTTGTAATTAAGAACTGTTTCTTAAATGAACCTTCAATTATTGAAGATGAAGAAAATAAACAAATTAAAATTATGGAATTAGAAACAAATCAAATGATGGCACCTATTTCTCCTATGAAAATAGAAACACCATCAAATTTCTCTAAAGCTATCACTCCTTCGAGACTACCTTCAAGACCTACTTCTAGGATATCTCAAAATTCTGTAAAACAAATTTCTAAATCATCTACTCCATCCCAATTATCAACTCCTCATTTGCATCAAATTTACCAAGACACAAAAGAAACTCAAAAATCTTCATCATCATCTTCTTCTCCTATTTCCTCAATTAGTCGTTCAGAAACTCAAAACAATTAAAAAGATTATTTGTAGAAAAGGTCGAGACTATGCTTCATTCTTAATTACTATTTTTTGTTATTTAGTTGTTATTTTTTATTGTTTTACAATAAAAAATTAAATATGTTTACTTCTTTTTATTTTTGTTATATTTTAGCATTACTACAAAAACAAATTAACCAAAAAATGTATCAGATTTAGGTAATTGATGCCTTTTGACTATTTCATTAGAAGAAGTATTTCAAATAAGTAACTTACAAATAATAAGTTAGTGTAGTTCTTTAAAAAACAAAGTAATTTCATTGGACAATGAATAGTTTGATTAGAGAAACAAATAATAGTAATTGTAAAAAAAATTAAATAAGAAATAACACAGACACATAAGAATATTGCAGTCTAAGAGATTAAACACAAATAGAATCTTATAATATAATTAGATAAAAAAACAAATAAAAAATATAATAGTATTGAAGTAATTTATTTTTGATATATGGATTAAATTTTTTTTTTATTTTAATTATTTAAAAAAAATTTTAATTATTAGTTTTTTAATGAATTAGACTTCAGCTATTCTTACCATTTTCTTTGTTGTTTTCTTTCTGATAATCGGTGACTTTTTCATTGTATCTACATCTCCAAGAGCATCAACTTTTCCACCAGCTTTTCTAGCTGCTGCTAATTGAGCTTTCTTTTTAGCTTCTTCAGCTTTTTTCCTCTCTTTTTCTTCTTGTTCTTTTGCTTTTGCATTATCTTTTCTTGCGTTTTTCCAACTTTCAATAAATGATGCAAGTGGTTTAAAGAACTCTTCTGGTGCAGGTGGTTTACTCACATTTTCACCAAAATATTTTAGTACATCTTTATAAACGACCATAGTCTTTTGATACGTTTCTTTTAAATCTACAAGATCTTGTTTAGATGCAAGAATAAATGCATTCATTACAGATAAGAAATCACACCCTTCTTCTTCTTTCACTTTTTTAACAGAACTTTCAATGGTTGCAAATGTTTTTTCTAATCCTCCAATTTCTGATTCAAATTGAGCACCTGGAACTTTTGATGCATCAACAACTCCAATAATTTCTTCATCCCATCCAAGTACATCATCTTTATATTTTTCTTCAACAATTGAGGCAATAAAATGAAGTAGTGTTCGTTTATTATCTCCAGTTTTTGTATCACTTAATTTTTGTAACGTGTTAAAAGAAAATCCATGACATTTAGCTCTAGCAGTTCCTTGATTTAAATAATTACCAATCAATAAAATCACTTCCATTAGTCGAAGTAATTTTTTACTTTCAAGTAATTGTTTGCAGGCAACTTCAACTTTCTTAATGTCTGGAAGAATTTCTGATAACTTCACTGGAAATTCTAATTTACATGCAAACGCCTCTAATTTGATATTAACTGATTGAATATTACTTAATGCATATGCAAATTGTTCAGCCACTCCAATGTTACTTTCATCTCCATTATGTTCTTTATAATATGCATAAACTGGTTCCATTTCTTCTTTACTTGGAATAGCTTTTTGTAAATTTCTAACAGCACTAGCTTCTTCAAATAATGATGCATCACATTTATTTACCGCAATACAAACTTCCTTAATAGTTTTATTCTTAAATCCTTTTAATGTAATTGTTAATGTTTGATTTTGTTTACCATCAAGAATACAAACAGGCCCTTGTTTCTTTGTTTCTTTAGCCTCTGTTGGTTTTGCCCGTTCAGGGACTTTAAACTGTTCTTCTATCATCTTAAAATCAATTGGAATTTTGTCTAATGTATCCATCTTAAGGAATACAGTTCCTTGTAATTGTCTATCTGTAAGTTTCTGCCATTGGAAGTTTTTAACTTTTTTGGTTGGTTTTGGCAACATAGTTACATATGCGTTTGGTTTAGGTGCAGCTGGTCTAAATCCAAAACCACCAGGAGGAGGTGGTGGCATTCCTGGCATACCAGGAGGAGGAGGTGGTGGAGGCATACCAGGCATTCCAGGTGGTGGAGGGGGTGGTGGAACTGAAACAGCTCCAGGAGGAGGAGGGGGTGGTGGCATAGTACTAGTAGCATTATTAGTTATTGTTGTATTAACTTTACCAATAACAACAGTAGAAGGTCTTTCAGCAAGTTGTTTTTGTAAAGAGGTAAGGTCTTGTTTAAACCCTTCTAACTTAGCTTTAGACCCTTGAAGGGCCTCTTGCTTAATTTTCATTTCATTGTCTGCTTTTTTCTTATCATTTTCATATTCTGGGATTCTATCTTTCCTCTTTTTCAAACGATCTGATGCAGTAGCAGATTGATTTTTTGCTGCAACCAATTTATCGTTAACAACTTTTAATTCCGAATCAATCATATACAAAGATGCTACAGAAGAGACACTCTCGAACAATTCATTTAATTTTACTTTCTTCCCTCCAATTTCATAAATTTCATCATATGGTTGAACCCCATCAAGGTCTTTTCTATCAAGATCATAGAACCCAACCATTCTAGTAATACACTCAAAGGCCATCCATTTAGACATGATGACTGATGATGTATCTGAACTAGACAAATAGGCAGCTTCTTTCATTAATTCATGATATAACTTATCAATATGTAAGTCTTTCATAATTCTTTCTAAGGAACTAGAAACTTTTTTATCATCATTTAAATCAATTTTATCTTCTAACTTATCATTTACCTTTTCAATTAGACTCTTCATTGTTTTGTCATCATCTTCACTTATTTGAATCCATTCATCAAAAATATCCATAATAGGGTCATCAGTCTCACCATAAATTTCATTAATATTTGCAATAAACTTTTCTGCACCAAGACAAATCAATTCTGTTCTAATATCCATTCTCAAGAAGATATTATCAATATTTTTTACCATTGCATGCATTACTCCCATGGCTGCTTTCTTTAGTTCATTATTTTCTGTATCAAAAAGGTTAACAAGCCATTCAAACCTAATTTTATTTTTTCTTTTACTTTTAAGCTCAGTAGATGCTTTAATTAAATTTTTAGAATTTATTTCATGAAGTGTATTTGTAGTTTCTTCAGAATTACCACATGATTTTAGTAAAACTCCATTAACTAATTCAATTCGTTCATTTGTAGAGATAGACTTAGAGGATAGTGCCATTAAAATAGTACAAAGATATTCTGCACTACAAATAACGTCATTAAAAATTGTTTCAGTTTCTAAAAGCTTTCTTAAAATATAAATAGTTTTCTTTTCAGCTTCAGGAATTTCTGTAACTTTAAAATGAGGGTTCATCATAAGTTTATTAAACATTTTAAAGAAAGCATCTATTCCTTTATTTTCAATAAATTTTTGAATATAATTAGTACTAGCATTTCTAATTTCAATCTCAAAGTCTTTTAGTTCTTTTAAAGTAAATGAACTATCTACTAATCGCTTTACAGCTGTTTCAGGTGTTGACATTTGACTTTTAACAATTACATTCTCTTTTTGTTTTTGTTCAATATATTTCTCAATTAAAATATCTAATTGATCTTTTGGTAATACTGAAACATCTACTTTCATTGACTCTCCAATTTCTTTCATATATTTTTCTCGTTCTTCAGGTGTTATACTAATTGATTTAGATGGTGTAGAATGGGTTGCACTTCCTTTACTATTATTACCATTTAGTTTTGTTGATGAAGTTGGTGTACTGTTTGTACTTCCAGAACTTTTTGCACCAGTACAATTTCCTCGTTTCTTACTATATTTCTCTTCGCACTTTTTACTGTGAAGAATTACCCCACATTTAGTACATTTAACTACACTCTCTTTACTTTTAAATGCCTTTTGACATTCGGCACAAATCCCTCCACTTGGTGGAGTTTTTAAAGTTTCATAGATATGCGACATATGAATTGAATTTAAGATGCAGATCTTATAACTGTATTAACTTAAATCTATTTTTATCTCTTTTTTTGAGTTCATTCAATTTTTTTATTTTAATCCTTCTTTTACTATTTCTTTCCTTAACATGCATTATTTATCTAATCTCCATATCTAAGAAAAAAACTTTAAAAAGTACTATAACAAAAAAGTTTTTTTTGCTATTTTAAGTGTTTTGATGTTTTGTTTATTTTCAGATTAAATCATTTTCAAGTTTTCATTGTGATTTTTTTTTAAATCTAATATTCTTCATTATTCAAAATTATCAGTCTTTATTGTTTTAGTAATATGTAAATAACAAGAAAGATCATTCTTTGAAATATTCTATCATAATACGTTTAATTAATTATTAATTATTAAATGAAGTCAAGCAAAAAATAAGTTTATTTTTTTTTCTGAATTAACAACTAAAACATATAGTTAGTTATTTGGTTATATTGTTTAGAGAGGTATATCTCATTAGTTATTAGATAAATAATCTTTGATAAATGTAATTTATATTATTGTGAGTTTGTCATATTTTTTTCTAATTTATATTTTAAATAATCAATAGTTTGGAGAGTAATAACATACAGAAATATACCAAGTACAGAAATTGTATGTATTAATTTATTTAATTATTTTTCACTTTGCATATTAAAACCATATAATATAATAAGAAAAGAGTATTAATGATTATTACCTATATAATATAACAGATATTTTTATTTTATTAAACTTATATAAATATATTTTCACTATGATATCATTATAATAAATCAAATAGTATATTGTACATTTTTTGAACTTTATGATTTATTAAGAAGAAGAATAGAAAAGAAAGAATATAAACTTGTGCTGGTTAATAATAAATATATTTTTGTATAGTAATTAAATAATAATATTTTTATTTTAATTGATTAATAAAAATATTATTAAACAATGGAATATTTGTTTCAAACCATGAACTTATTAATATTAAAATACTAATACTCACGTTTTATTTTCTAACACAAAAATTGAAAGAAAATCTTTTTTTTTTTAAATTAGTATAAATATTTGTTTTAATATTAGTTTTTAATATTATTTAAAGTGTATTTGTGTAACAAACTACTTTATAATAAAAGTTGCATTTGTTAATTTTACGTAGTTGAAGATACTTTCACAGAAGAAATTCTCTTTCCTCTTTCAGAAAACAATATATTAAAATTGAAATCCAAAACTTCTTAAAACTTAAATTATTGTATTAAAATTATCAAAATAAATTCATTCAATCCAATAACCAAAGATATGACATTTATCACTAACTATAACAGAATGTAATTATAAATTTATTTTTTAATACTGAGTATACTCATTTATTTCGATTGAAATAATTTTATTTCATATTTCATCATTTT